CATTGAGGCTGTTCCCATGTCTTGGCTATTGTAAATAGTGCTGCTATGAACATTGGGGTGTAAGTGTCTTTTTGAATTACGAATTCAAATATCTGGAATATGTTCTTCCACTTAAAACTGGGTAACAGATGAAATATTGTCAGGTTGTATCAACAGAGTGATTCTCTTTTTAGAAAATGCTAAGCTTAAGCTGAATTATCACTGGAGTGAAACATTTAATGAATGAGTTGGTCCATAAATGCCGATAGTATTTTTAAGTAGGCATCAATTGCACTGAATTAATTAATCAACTATCTGAGTGGTCTTGTATATATTTTTAAAGTTAAATTTATTTAGTTTGCTAATATAAGAAAGGTTATTTTCTGTAGGGTCTTCCCTACTGAAATAGGGAAATAAGAAAAATAAGTTGCCTAGAAACTAGAAATTATTTGTTGAGTTCTGAAGTTTGGAGGTGTCATAAATTGTTTTGGGGTTTTTGTTGTTGTTGTTGTTCGTTGGTTTGTTTTTTTGTTTTGCAACCAGCTCTATTATTTTGAAAACATAATATAGCTTTCTTGGAAGTAGACCTGCTAGATGGCTTCCCTCTTGTACAAAATTTCAGGTTATTTTGAATTTATTAAAATGAAAGTATTTCAGTTCATTTCATTGTTATTCACATAACGTCTGTACTATAACACATGAAAGATACAAAGTTAATTCTCATCCCCTACTTCCAACAAGGTAGCGTGTAGTAGGAATCCTTTATTTTTGAATAGTATTTGCCTTTTACCATGAATGGCCACATGCCAGATCTTCATTTTATTCTAATACTTGTGTAAAACAGGGCAGAGGAGAAAACTGGGCACAGAGAGCTTGCAGAATTGTTTAAATATACAGTTGTTGTTGATATAGGAACAAGCACTGGAGCCAGTCTTCTGAGCGCTAAACCAGAGAACATCATAAGCCTGAACAATAACCTCTCGTCCTGTTGACCAACTGACTGTGCAGCTTTGGGTTAGTTATGGCTTCTGGGCCCTCAGTTTTCCCAGTTGTGTAATAATGGAGTTGAAGTAGGTGATCCCCAATAGTGCCTTTAGTTCAAAAGTTCCAAGATTATTTTCCCAGAATTAGGTAATGTGACAACGTGGAAGAAAGACCATGCTATTTAGAGGCATAGTTTCCTCATCTTTCTCTTCCTGGGTTAATATTTCTCTGCTTCTTTCTGTGAATCCAGACAGACCTGAGTTTTGATAAAGATGTCTCCTTCTCCTTTCTTCCCAATTCACTTCATTATAGGCCAGTGCTTTTGGCATCTTCTTTAACACCTCCCTCCTGTGGTTTCCATTTCCAGGGCCTCTTTTTCAGAAGTATATTTGGCTCCTTTGAACATGTTAAAGCTTTTTGCACTGGAAGACTCTCTGAATCCTCGTCCACAGCAGCCGCACTTGCTCTCTGAGGACTCATTGTAAGGAGTTAATGTCACTTCCACATCGTCTTCCATGACCTCATTAAGACTAGCCAGTTGTACAAACCATGCAGTGTTGGGAATTTGAGGCGTATCAAGTTCAAGACTAAGGAAACCAGGTCCACTCTCAAATTAGACTCCTTTCCACACGCTGTTCATATCACTTCCCACCATCACTTTTCAATATTTTTCTTAACCCGCTAGCAGAATCGTGTCAGAAATCCCTGACACATGCCACCCTCAGCCTCGGTATCACTGATGAGTTTTAAAATGGGTGTTACATCCAGTCCAACTTGGATACACAATTACTCCTTGCTTCATTGGATGCTGTATGGATTTGTGTGGGGTGAAGGAAACTTAAGATTTAATGTTTGTTGCCAAAGACTCAAAGTTTATTGAGTGAGCAGGGACAGTATTCTAGAGCAGCAATGCTTTCTTTGAAAGGTCATTATTCTCACAATACCTATTCACAGCTAAGCAATAATCACAAATCAACCACTTACTGAGTATCTCAAATAACCTCCGATGTTCTGTTTGAATATCATATTATCAGCAAGTCTGATTTGCTGTTAGCCCATTTGCATTGGATAGTTTACTGTGTGATGAGCAAGCTGGAGTTTTAACTGTAAATTCCCTGTTGACCTTCTTCTAAGCAAGAGAGTGAGGTGGTCTGTGTGGCTGCCTTAAAGCCAGACAC